TATCGTAGATACTTTTTATGTATTACATCTAGTGCTCCGCTGCGTGACCCCACCTCACCAGGTCGAGAGTCTTGATCAATGGAGCCAGTCTTCCCGGTGCCTCTTCCCTGCGCCGCGGGGTGTTCGCTTGCTGAATCCCCTTTAGATTTTCATAGAGAACCCTACGTTCTTTCCGCTGGCACCGAACTGCACACACAATACACACAACAACGCTCACGCGTGGTGGGCGGGATAAAGCATGGGCGTCGATAGGGTTTTTTGTTCACACTCTACACCTCGGAGCTTACGCGCGCAGAAAAGTTATGATTAACAAAAAAAACTGCACGTTGCCTGATCGACCCCCACATCAGTCACTTCTACGCCAAATTTTGATAGAGTGCCGTAGCCCCTAACCCTCCCGAGCGAATCGCCCCCTCCCTTAATATCCCAAAACGGTTTCCGTGCGCCTCTGTCACTAGACATTTTCGTCCCTCCCAGCCCAGCCGGATGGGGGGGGGGGCTTCGGAGGAGAGGGGAGGGGAGGGGAGGGGAGGGGAGGGGAGGGGAGGGGAGGGGAGGTGGAGAAAGACCAGGATGGCTAACCAGCCCAGTTAGGCGGCCTGACCAGCACTCCTGCCCATTGGATCCTCTTAGCCTTGTTGATATCAAGGACCAGGACTAAACCTAGATTGTATGAGGTCCAGAGACTTACATTTGGGGCTCCTCAATACAAACAAGACAAAATTCGGTACAAAAGTGGGCGTTCATGTAGAAGGAGGGGGAGGAAAAGCCCAGGGCCCTACTAGTGCCCTGCAGACCCAGGCCGCTTTCTTCCAGACCCCTGGGGACAGCGAACCGGAACCGTGCGCACAGCCACTGCCTTGTGCGTCAGCCGGCTGCCCTCCCCTGCCTGGAACACTCCTCGCACGCCCCTGCTCTCTCAGGGCCTGGGAGCCGCGTGGCATTAGCCGGATGACCAGTCAGCAAACCTGAGCGCTGGGGGCTTCTGACCAGCAGCCAGGGGGGGGTGTTGCTAACCTTTAGCGAGGTCCTGGTCCCCTGTGAGAACTGACTCAGAGCCATGGAAGCTTTCCCAGGAGAACACGCAGACACTCGAGTCCAGTAAATTTTGCCTGCAATTTCAGAGCATCTGGGACCCCCTAAGGCCTACCTGTGGCTCCCAGGTGGGGAACCCCAGAGCCAGCGCAGTCCACGCACCTCCTAGGTGAGGCAGTAGCATCCCAGATGGGTGAGTGCCTTGCTCAAGTCAGTGCGGTCACTTCGGGCAGTCACGACTCAGAGTCGGCCCCTGTCTCCCCGCGGCCCTCTACCATGATGGGTCTGCCTCAGCAAGGTCAGGGTGGGGTCTCCAAGCAAGCAGAGCCCACGTTCAGGCCCCTCGGAGGGTCTATCCCGTATCTTCTGGCCTCTCTCCCAAGCAAGTACTTTTGCTTAATGTAGCTCCAAGAAGGCAGCCGTGATGGCATCTGAACACGGACTCAGGTAAGAAGGCTGCTGCAGGATGTGAGCAGTAGTGAGGAAATAGTGAGAAAATGGGGGGGGGGGGGAGAGAGAGAGAGAGAGAGAAACAGCAAATAACACGCAAACTCCCTGAGAAAGGACTTGCAGCTGCTCTGGTACCTGGAGACCTGAGCCTGGGGAAATCCCAGTACCAGCCACATTTGATTGGCCCCACGTGAGCCCCTGCCTCTCTCCCACTCTCTCCCCTCTTGCCCCAAGCTGTGTGCTTTCTTCTGCCTGCACAGCTGCCCCACCCCCCACCCACAAACCATCCAGCTGCCTTGACACTTCCCGTGAGCCCTCCACTAACTTAGATCTCCTGGGCCCCCCTGCTCAGCACACAGCTCTTCTTCTTGGCACAGAGTTCACATTTATTTGTTTTTTATTTTATTTTTTTCTTTTGACAGGCAGAGTGGACAGTGAGAGAGAGAGAGAGACAGAGAGAAAGGTCTTCCTTTTGCCGTTGGTTCACCCTCCAATGGCCGCCGCGGTTGGCGCGCTACGGCCGGCGCACCGCGCTGATCCGATGGCAGGAGCCAGGAGCCAGGTGCTTTTCCTGGTCTCCCATGGGGTGCAGGGCCCAAGCACCTGGGCCATCCTCCGCTGCACTCCCTGGCCACAGCAGAGGGCTGGCCTGGAAGAGGGGCAACCGGGACAGAATCTGGAGCCCCTACCGGGACTAGAACCCGGTGTGCCGGCGCCGCTAGGCGGAGGATTAGCCTAGTGAGCCGCGGCGCCGGCCCACATTTATTTGTTATAGGTTCATCCATGTGCCCCATCCAGATATCCAGCTCCTCGTGGGCGGGGTTTAGGTCTTTGGTGTGTGGGCCCTACCAGACGGAGCGCTCTCTGTAATCACTGGCTGAGTTAAACGAACAGCAGCATCTGGTGGTTGGGAATGAGGCACCTGGAACACATGCCTGCTGGCCAGCTCAATCCTGAAATCCTGGTCAGGGCTGTAGCAGCTGGGAGCTAGCCCAAGAGGCAAGTGAGCAGTGCCCTGAGCAGAGGCACCAGGCAAGCAGGTACAGACCGCCAAGCTGGTTCACTCTCCACATGGCCTCAACAGCCAGAGCTGGACCAGACCAGAGCCAGGAGCCAGGAGCCAGGAGCCAGGAGCCAGGAGCCAGGAGCCAGGAGCTTCTTCTGGGTCTCCCATGTGCGCGCAGGGGCCCAAGGACTTGGACCACTGTCTGCTGCTTTCCCAGGCACACTATCAGGGAGCTGGTTGGAAAGTGGAGCATCCAGGACTCAAACCGGGACCCATATGGGGATGCTGGCATCATAGGCAGTGGCTTTAACCGCTATGCCACAGCACGGGCCTGGGTGTATCCTTAAAATAAGCCCCCACCCTTCTCTCAGAGACCATCTGAGCTGTGAGGGTCCTCCAAGCCCCTAGCCGGCTGTCCACTGGCAACTGTGGTAGGCACTGTCAGCCAAGGTTGGGAGCAGAGGGCTGAGATGGGTGTCCCCTGAGGGATGCATCTGCAGGGATGATTAAGAAACTCAGAAGCAGCTAGCTCTCCTGCCCCCTGGGCTCGCCTCCCGGTGATGGAACCTCTTGAGAGGGCAGCCTGTTATTCATTCATTCCATTTAGTTAGGGGTAGAGTTGAGCCTGTCTTTCTTTTTTCAGCGTGACACCCACGGCTCCGCGTCGGATGCTGTGTGTGACTGCCTCCCCAGAGCCAGGGAGCCCTGATCAATTATTTTTCTCCTTCCTCATTTTCTTCTCCTTGCTGAGCCAGTGGGGTGGGGAGGGGAAAGGCTTATGTGACTAAGAAGCACTGAGGCACAACCTGTTTTTCTGCTCCCAGCTTGCTGCCGGGGGAGCAAGGCTTGTGGGTGGAGAGCGCCGGCGGACCAGCTCCCCTGAACAATCAGATTCCGCCCCCATGCCCACCTGCACCCCAGCTCCCAGCAGCTGGGAGTGGACTCTGACCTTGGGTGCCCAGGGATCGGCAGGGGCGCCAGGGCCAGGTGAATTCACCTAGGCAGGTAGGTTTGCTCCTTGCTTCCTCTTAAACACACTCCAATAGAGCAGCCTCCTTCTTCCATCCTCAGATGAAATCATTAGCATGAGATTTTTTTTTTTTTATTA